ATCTACAATGTGTTCCCTTGCCAGTTTGTTGATAGTTTTGAAATTCAGGTGGCTAAGCTTCTTGTGCCAGTCCCAGCTTAGCTTTGAATTGTCCTTTGCTATCAGACAGGTTCCATCTTTTGCTGTTTGCCAGTCAACAACATAGATGTTCTTCCTTCTTTTGGCTGTAAGAACCACTTCTTTGGTTGTCTCATGCTTGACATAGCATAAGGTCTTGGTGAATTCAACTGTGTAGCCTTTGTCACAGAACTGGCTAGCACTCAGCAAGTTGAACTTCAGACCTTTGACATATGAGACATCATCAATGATTATCTGGTTCTTGATCAGCTTCTCTCTTCCTTTTGTTTGCCCTTCCTTGTCATTTCCACCGAAAGTGACTCTGGGTCCATTGTATTTCTGAAACTCTGATAGGCAACTCTTGTCACCTGTCATGTGTCTGGAGCATCCACTGTCAATATACCATTCTTGTTCTGAGATGGCTCCAGCACACAGTTCCTGCAAGTTTAAAAGGAAGATTTAGGTACCCAAGCAATGTTGGGTCCTGGGGGGGTAATGTAGTCTTGGTAGTTGGTACCATTTTGGTCTCATCAACTGAAACCTTGGTGGAAGGTACCCATTGTCCACCTGGTAGTTGTAGTAAACAGATGTATGATTCACTTTGGGCAGATGCTTGTGAGGATCATGCTTTCTGTTTGCATACTTCTGCATAGCCTTTTTGGTTGGAAAGAAGTCCCATATGCTATCAAGATCAGAGGAGCGCTTAACTTTAGGCTTCTGAGGCTGACCAGACAACCTCTTCTGCCTATAGTTAATCTTCTCTTGATATCTGCCTTTCTGATAGCAGTTTCTGATACCATTGTCATGAGATTGTCTGATAGGGTTAGGCCTTTGATTGTTATTTTTCTGAAAACTTTTCCTGTTGTTAGATTTTCTGCCAGGTTCATTAGTTTTCAGAATTTGTTTAGGTTTGACCTTTAGGTTTTGCTTCTCTGGTATGACCTTCTCATGTACAATTTTAGTACCAGAAGTACTAGCATGACAGTTGGGGCTCAAAGTCTGTGGCACTATGACCTTTTTAGCCTTAGTAACTTTGGTGCTAGGCCTTACAGAAGGCTCACCAGACTCTGGTTCAACATATCCAAGACCAGAGGTGAAGTTATGAGAATTACCAATATTCTTCATGGAAGATTGCATCTTCAGAAGACTATTATATCTATTCTCAAGTTCCTCAATGTCTCTTATTCGTTTAAGAAGAGACTCATTTTCAACTTTCAGTTTGTCTCTTTCCTCAGTTAAGAGATTAAGATTGTACTCAGTCTCCCTTCTAAGATCAGAGATGTCAACTTTCAGCCTACTGTTCTCATCTTTAACAAAAGAATAAGTGGTTTGAATAGTTTGGAACTCTTTCCAAAATGATGACATTGGATCATCATTTAAGGCTGTGCCTACCGAAGAAGAAATAGAATCAGAGGTGGAGCATACCTCATCATCTGATTGTGCCATGAGGCAGAGGTCTTCAGTTTCTGCATCCAAGCAGCAGAATGCTTCATCAGAGTCGGAGTCTGAACTGGACTCTGATTCAGAGAGTGGATCTCTCTCAGCTTGTTCTGAGACGAATGCTCTTCTTCTTCTGTGTTGATCTTCTGGTTTCTTTTCTTCTTCATGTCCTTGCTTCTTGGACACTCTTGGATAGGGGCAGTTTGCTTTGAAGTGCCCAGGTTGTCTGCAGTTGTAGCAGAGGTACTCTCCATTGCTTTCAGAAGACTTGGTCTTCTGATGTGGTCTTCTGATGGAAGATGGACTCCTTCCATCTTTCTTCATAAACTTCTTAAACTTCCTGGCAAAAGCAGCCATATACTCATCAGATAAAAGAGTAGAGGGGTCAAAGTTACTTACCTTTGAGGTGCTGGCAGTGAGAGCAATGGTGGTCCTTTCATCAGGAACTTCTTCCTTCTCTTCATGCATCTCAAACTCATAAGCCTTGAGATCAGAGATGAGTTTCTCAGTGGCATAAGTCTTGATGTTCTTGCTTTCCTGGACTGCAATCACCTTCATCTTCCAAGCTGAAGGCAGTCCCCTGAGAATCTTCATGTTGACCTCTTTGATGGTGAGCTCCTTCCCAAGCTCAGAAATCTCACTGATGAGAATCAGCAGTCTCTCATGCATCTTAGCAATGCATTCTTCTGGCAGAAGTTTGAAGTCATCAAACTTCTTCATAGCAATGGTCAACTTGTTATCTCTTTCTTGCTCATCTCCTGCTCCAATCTCATCTAGCTTGTCCCAGATTTCCTTTGCAGTCTTGCACTTCTTGATTCTGTTGAAGTATCTTTCATCAATAGCCTTGTAGAGGATGTCCTTGGCTATATTATCTAGATTGTACTGCCTTTTCTCTTCCTTGGTCCATTCTGACCGGGCTTTCTCAATCATCTGGGGCTGAGAGTTATCAATAGAGTGAGCAGGATTGATCTTCATGAACTGGATAAAGGGGCCATTTTCCAAGACTTCCCACATTTCATCATGAAGAGCACATAGATGTGCCTTCATTCTGATCTTCCAATCATCATACTTCTGATCTGTAAACATAAGATGCTTTGCAAGAGAATTATCCATTATAATAAATGAAGAGGCTAAGAACAAGTGGATCTTTGTTCAGAGAGTAACCTAAAAGATTACAAGAACAAGGAGGCTCTGATACCACTTGTTGGTCCCGTTTAATATGGTAATCAGTCTAGAGGGGGGGTGAATAGACTGATTGGTTTTTCAAATTTTCTCTAAGTCCAAAGTGACTTATCAGAGAAGGTCTGATTCTGGTGACAGAGAAAGGCTGGTTCTGATATCAGAACTGGCCTTGGCAGCGGATTCTGATTTGTCCGGGTAGCCTCAGAAATACTAAGGCAAATGCCTTTCTGATAACTCTGAAAACAAGATCTGCTGAACACAGATTCCAAGTCTTAGAGTTAACAGTTAATATCCTAAGTGCAGAAATATAAATTGCAGTAAAGTAAATGACACCGGATATTTTTATAGTGGTTCAAGGAACAACGCGTTCCTCTAGTCCACTGTTCCACTAGCTTTGAAGTAGATCGGTTACAAAGCTAATTCCTAGCACTTAAGAAGTTCTCCACGCCTTCTTCAAGCCTAGCTGCCACCCAGGATGCAGTTCCACGTCCTGATGGCTGGTCCTTTCACTCAGCTTCCCGGAAGTATCACCACTTCACTACTGCAGTTACTTGGACGCCCTTCTTTTCAGAAGATCCTTTGAAAAACAAAGTTTTTCCTCCAACTTGCTTCGTCACAAATGATGTTTGATGAAGTTTTTGAAGAGTTGAAGAACAGGATGAACTTTGCTCGTTGTTGGGGATGAAAGATTTGGAGTTTGAATCTTCCCAACGTAGAACTTTTCTTGTTTGAAGATTGTAGAATTTGAATCTCAAGAGAGCTTGAATTATGGTGAGCAAAAGTTGTAGCAAAGCCGTGTCCCTGTTCTTCGGTGAGTAGCTTATATACTGAGGTTGTCTGCCCGTTGGAGGAGGAGACAACTGCATTAAATGCGCGTACTGTTGACTTGACCGCCGTTTTGGAAGGTTTCTATTTTTATAATATATCTTCCCGGATTCCTTGGTCAATCATTTGCAATCAATCCTTCAACGTATCAGGCTCATTTAATGTGCATTAAATGCTTTCCTTTCATGCACAGTCTTCTAGCCGTTGGATGTTTTTACCCGTTGGATTCATAGCTGTTGGATGTTGCTTGAAAACTTCTAAGTGTTGGTCGGGCTCTGATCAGGCTTTTCTGATGTGTTGGATTCTGATGACTTTCTGAGTTCTGATGGCTTTCTGATGAGTTGAGTTCTGATGGCTTTCTGATTTCTGACTGAACTCTAACTCTGATTCTGATAGGTCCGCTGATGAGCACCTCTGATCTGTAACTCTCATCGGTTATCAGATGTCCAGGTTTAGCAGCATTTCTCAGGGTGCAACTCTGATGGACTTCTGGTAAGAGAACTCTGATGGAGCAGTTCTCATAGAGCAAGTCTGGTCGAGCAGTTCTGATGTACTTCTGATTTGATCCAAAACAGAGCAACTCTGATCGTCGACTACACTAATACTTATAATTGAAAAAAACTAATACATAAAAACTAATTTGGGGGTGCTCTATCTTTCTAATCCTATAGCATCATCAAAATCTAATTACATTTATTCCTTACATATTTTTTATTTTTTTTATAAATTTCAATTTTTACGTTTTATTGATGTATTAATGTTATAAGTTTTAAGATTTTTGTTTCCAATTTAATTATTTATCACAATTATTTTATTTTCAAAGTTTTTACGTTTTAGTTTATATCTTTTAACAATTAAATAAAAGTTGTACATTATTTTCAACCGTGTTATTTTGTAATTTTTTTGTATTTTACTTTTTTCCCTTGTTCTATTTATTTTCATTATAATTTTGAAATTTTTTATTTCCTATAAATTTATATTTGTAGTACTTCTTTATAATATTTGTATCATTTTTTAATATTCAGCTTCCATCTTGATTTAATATTACGATTTATTCATATTCTTTATATCTTTATATCATTTCTTTGAGGTTCTCTAGTTTTTCATTTTTAAATTTTTCAATTTTTAAGTTGCAAATCATGGTACATACTACATACGTATTTACGTAGTAGTGTGGTACGGTAGAAGTATACTTCGTATACTTGAGAGTGAGGCACGATTAAGGTGGTTCAATTGTTCCAGGTTTTTTTGAAAGCTTACCGTTGCAGAGCTTACGTCTATTATTGAAAGGCGAATGTTAACAAGACTATTTTTGAAAAGAAAAATGAAAAGTGAAAAACATGATATTATTTTTTATTTTTGGTTCGCTTGTGAAAAACTCCCAAAAAAATACCAATAGAGTCCAACAATAATCCAAGGACTAAAAGAGAGAACCCAAAAACAAGCGTCAAACTTGTCATCCAGAAAACATTTCGTATTACCAATGGGTGCAAGGTATTGTTTTCACCGATTTCATCCCATGTATAATGTGATGAATATTGATTCAGTTGGTGTATCAACTATGATTTGAATATTAAGTTTTCATAAAAAAAAGGCAGGAAAGAGATGATACAAAAGCTCTTTACATCAAAATTCCGATGAACCCTTTTCCTACTCTATGTCTCTATATAGTTACAGCTAATAGTAAAAAATCAAAAACAAAAATAAAATTACATTGTCACATGAACAAAAGAAAGAGATCATGAGCGTATATCATTTGGGGGTGGGCATGCATTCAACTGATCAGGACAAGGCGGCGGATCCAAACTCATCTCGTTGCTTCGGACTCCATCTCCCGCTGCTGATGAAGAGGATTTAATGTTCTCTTGATTGAGGGAGGGAGACAGCCCGTTCCCTGCTTCTGCTCCGGGTGGATCAGTGTCCATTCTATCCTCATGTGGAACCGGTTTTGCAGTTGCATCATTATCGTTCACTTCACTGAAATCATACTCAGAAAGAAGTTCCATAAACTCATGAAGCAGCCGCTGCACTTTCCGGTTGGATGCCATTGCAGGAAGTATATCTTCTCTCAGGAGCTTGTGCTTTTTCATACCCTATTATAGATCATAAACTCATTAATCAGCCTAACTGAGCAATTGAAAGAAAGAATTGTTAAGAGGGGAAAGCCAAATCTGTTTACGGGTTTGGTGGGGTGAGATTTAAATCTGTAATCCTTGTTTGGTTGGGTAAAGTTGGAGGGGAGGGGAGGAATAATTTAAATTTTATGAAATTTGTTTTTACATTTAGATGGTTGGACATAAATGAAGTTCAAAAGTTACACAAAATAAATTATTTAACTAAACGTATTGTTCCCATAAAAACTTGAATAAAGATAAATTAGTAAAACAATAAGCAATCTCCCCTTTAGAGTTAAAGATGCATGCATGCAGATAGCTATTTTTTTCTGTTTAAGACTGTTTATTTTCTAGTATGAGACTGTTAAATAAAGATAAATTAGTCAAAGTAATCCCAACTAAACACACCCAAGGGTTGTAACATCCATACAACTGAGAGCGTGTGTTTTAGTAGAGCTTATTTCAGAGCATTTGACTCTCTTCAAACCCCAAATAACCTCCAAACTCCTATGGTAATTTCATTAACCTCCTAGCTATTTATGTGTTTCTACGAATGGCCTTTTTTAGAAATCTACAAATAACCTTATCCTTTTACAAGTACAAATCGCACCCTTTACACCCCGAATTGCCTATATTGATCAATATAAGCAATATATGTGTCCTTTTACACAAATAATAAGATATTTAACATCTTACTCTACCAAACATTTCTGACACTTTAATTAAAGCTTTCAACTTTCATCTTTTCAGCTTTTAGCTAGATTTTCCGCATGGGAAACTACAGTGACGTGCAATTAGACATTTGTGTCGATGTACACTAGAGAACGCTGTGGTGAAGAAGACAACTCCTACGCTGTGGTGACTGCAAACAATATCACCGCGACAACCAAATGCTACCAGAGGTGGGAGGGTGAAGGAATACGAATATACTATGGTAAAATCGTGTGTGGTCAAGGTGGGGGCCTACAAAGAAAAGATGAGAAGTCTTACGAGGACACTGGGTTCCCAGGCAGGTTTATCTGTATGGGATGATAAGGCCTCGGCCATTCCAGTTGGAGGCCCAAGAAAGCTCTCACAAACTTCTCGCAATCTAGATTCATCTGCCTCTCTGTTGTCATTATTTAATAGATATAGTAGTTAAAAAAAAGAATGATGAAAAATACAGGAATAAAAAATAGTGGACAAATATTGTGGCATTTTATACGCAATGACCATGGTGAGTGCTCAATGCCTCAACAGAGACCATGGTGGTATCTCACAACTATAGTGTGATTGTGTAGCCATATTTTTGTCCATGAGTTCTGTTTTAGTACTATAATAAGAAGGGGAAAAAATTAAGTCCTTTCATCTCTTTATTAACTGCATGTAAGAACACATCAGGGGACAAGAGCACTGGGGTATAAAAAAAACACTGGGGTATTTAACAGACCTTGTCAGAAAGCGAACATAAGAGAGAAGGCATTGACGATATTCGTTTGAGGATTCCAAAGCAAGAGCGGAAGCCAGCTGAGCCTCCAAATGAGCTCGTGTCTGTGTTCCATCATCTGTCACTCTTCCACAACCACAACAAACAAGACATGGAAAGTGGACTAGTTTAGTAATCAGCGACATAATAACAGAAACTTCAATAGGAGTCTGTAAAAGAGAGAGTTGATAACCGAGGCTCAGTTTGATTGAAGGAAAGTAACTTGTTCATGAAAAATAAAATTGTTTCGTGAAAATGGCTTGCTCTTTAAAAAAAATCAAAGGTCTGTCTGTATCCAGGAAATACTAGTGAAGTAAAAAAGGATAACATCGAGAAAAATTGGAAGGAAAGAATCTATAGGGGGGAATAAAAGATACGGAGTAGATCAAACCTCAATGAATTTATTTTAAATATGTGTTGAGACTTGTATTATTATATTATAATTTACACCATATCATACCATACGTCCATACCAAACCATACCATATCATATTACGGAGTATATTATAAGAGTGCTGATCTGGTCAGACGCGACTGAGGAGCTTCCCGGTGGAATTTTTTGATGAAATTATCTGACCATGTTTTTCATCAAGTGTAGTAATCTCCACAAAAATTAAGCTAAATATTCAATCGGGAAGACAGTTTAATAAATTATTGAAATATGTGTCGCTTTATATATATAAAGCACATTGTTTTTCAAAAATTTATTTAACTGACTTCCCGGTTGAATTTTTAGCTGAAATTTTGTGGACATAATCTACACTTGATGAAGAACATCAAAAAAATTCATCAAAACATTACACCGGGAAGCACCTCAAACTGGTTTGGCCGGACAGGATTAGCCATCAGCCGCGGCTAAGGAGATCTATTTTCTCTATATTATAATTATAAACATATTACAAGATCGAAGTATATGCAACTAAAACAAAAATAATACATAGTAATATTTAATTTTCCTTCTGCATTTTTCAAGGTAAAAAAATACATTAGAAATAAACTTTCCTTAGTAGCTGTTTTTTCTTTCAATAACAACTTTTGGGATCCAAATACCCCGGAGATTCATGGGAAATACTTTCGAGTCTCAAATATAAGAAAACCTGGAAAGCATTTTCCAGGACAATACATTGTAGTGGAAAATGTTTTCCCGGAAGATAGTTGTTTTATGCATAACGTTATTTCCACTTTTCTAAACAAAAAAAAAAGTAGTTTTCCAAAAAAAAGTTCAAAAAAGAAGGAAATAATCACTTAAACATTGAAAAAAATATCAATGAAACATTTTCCTAGAAACAGTTTAAGTGTTCTATTTTTAAAGATATCAAGCTGGGTGCTACTCTATGTGCGGTGGAACATGAGATCATATAAATAAAGCCTAACTTGTCAACAACAGAAAGTGATTAAACAGTCATGGGGAGAAACCGGGAAACAGACCTGCTCCAACCCGGTTTTCTGGCCAGGAACTTCCTGACATCTACTTGCAAAGCAGCCAGCTCACCACCATGGAAGGAACCCAAATTCCAGGAGCTTGCAAAATTTGATGCAGGAAAACAATCATCGGCAACCCTCAGCCAGCACATGAGGCTCATATCAAAGAGATACGCATGTCGTGTTGCCAAAACTGCTAAAGGAGACCCTGATTTTGATATCTTCACTGAAATTACTTTGATTGTGTCTGGAATCGAGAAGAAAAAGAAAAGTTATTTTAATTTTTGGTATTACCTTGGAAAATGCAAAGGATATGGAAATATGAGTATATGACTTATCCAGTATTGTACGTAGTAGTATTTATACAATAGAAATGAATAAAATTGACATTTGTCTTTCATCCAACTTTCTCCTATACTTTCCTCCCCATTGTATTTCTCCAACATTTTCTGAGTTCCAAGCGGACTCAAAATGTGACAAAATAGAACTACATTTGTGTAAAATTTTATTAAACTTTTCTAACTCACTTGTGTTTGAATTGGATGAATCTGAAGTCACCAAAGAAGCCAATGAATCATTAAGGAGACACTTTCTGGTGAACAAATCCCAAAGGTACAATGATCCCTTCCTTGTAACAAGTAACAACTTCCAGGACTCATCACAATCAATAAATACTGCACCAGAACCCAGCATCATTGTTGGCATTGCACGTCTCCCGCACTTGGTATATATCTTCACCCCATCCAAAAAATGATAATAATTACAGTTATAACCAAGAATGAGAGAATAGCATACTCCCTGTGTTTACTTTTACTTGATCCAGTGGGGGTTTCACAGAAATTAAGCATAAAGTTGTAGACGTAGTGACCAGTCTAGAAGAGTGAATATGTAGAAGAGAGAAGTTGAAAAGTTTAGAAAAAGAAGATGAAAAGGCAGGGCATTTGTGTTTCAATACATTTATAGTTGCCAAAAATGGGCAGTGGAGCAACGGGCAAGGAAAAGAGAGCGAGTAAATATACAAGTTATGATGTACAACTGTAAAAATAGTCAACATTCTAACAAGTAACAAGGTAGGCACAAAGTTCCTAAAGTGCAGACATTACGTATAACGTGAAAAAAGGTATAAGGAATTTTGTTTTGATTTATTTAAATAGGAATAATAAATATTAAATAATTAATTATTAAATAATTAAATAATTAATTATAAAAAGAGAACATTCACCTGAACAGAGCCATCATCACAGCCTACAGCCCACAAGTTGGCATTTCCAGCTAAAACAGTAACTTGCCCAGAAATCTTATCAGACCAAAAAACTTGCATACCCTTTGTGCAAGTCAGTTCAGTATCTTTCATCACAAAGGTATTCCCCACACCTAGAACATCATTGACAGTATGTTCATTGGAGCGAGCCTCCAAGCAAAACGGAATCACATCTTCCCCTTCTTTCTTATCGAAAACCCTAACCGAAAGAGTACCACCACTCGCAGCCAAAAAACATGTGTCCTTAACAGCCCCCATCTGTTCTACTATACAAAGAGTACCATCTTTACCTGAAGAATGTGGGGCCCTTTCAATGACTAGGCTGTCGCTCACAGTAGCTCTAGCAGTTACACCTGATCTCTCCTTTAGGCCAGCAGTCCCGCCCACAACTTTCCTGGCAGGCCCCTCTCTGGAACCACCAGCATCGTTATGAATAGTTACTCTCTCATCATCTAAAGATTTGGTTGGGAGTTCGGAAGTAGTTATGTTTTCTTGCTGCATAGGCACCCCAACTGCTTCTGGGATTATCCTCTTTCTGCCATCTGGCCGTCTATATTCCCTTTGTTTCACGGCACTTGGCAAGTGGGTAGTGGACGAAGCTACTTTGTTTGGACCATCACTGTTAACTCGTTCCATCTTCTTCACATTATTATCAGCTTGAGATTTGGGAACACCCTTAATTGCTGCAGCAACAGAATCTTTTGAAGATAATTGATTAGGTGCAGATATATTGTCCGAAGTTTTTTTAATGGGTGTTTGCTTCACAGATGCTGCTTCGAGCAACAACTGAGCAGGACTTTCTGCTAAGTTTGCCTGTCGACCTCTGACATCACCATATCGGCTCTTTTTTAACTCTTCAAGTTCAGCATCTGATAGCTTACTACCCAGTTCATTTGCATCAAAGTGGAAGGTAGCTACTGATCCGTCCAAAGAACATGCAAACAAGGAATATCCATCAGGGCTCCTGCATCCAGCAAGTAAAAGAAATTCTTAGGAAAGCAAAAAAACAAAGCAAACAGAACAAATATCCACTTCTTGTCCTACGACTGAGTCATTTCAAACTTTTGGTCCCGGACTTTCGTTTTTCCACATTTATTGCACAACTTGAGACTTCTTAACACTTTTTGTCCTTTCGAACCACTTAACTGAGAAAATCAACCTCAAGTTCTGAATAAATTGGCTAGATATGTGCTCAAAAGGACTGAAAATGGCAAGAAAACCATGTGCATACAGTAGTCAAAATACCGATCCAACTCGTAGGATTGGACGATTTTATGACTCACCATATTTATGGCGATCCAAATCCTTCCTAAAATCGGTAGACACCCGCATAGAGTTATAAAATCAGTAAGCGTGGCTGATTGTGATCCATATTAGAGAAGGAAACGGCGGAAATAAATGAAGGGAAGTAAAGTCGGGAAGAGTGGAAAAAGAAAAGTGAGAACATAAGGAAAGGGCAGAAAAGGAAAAGTGAGAAAATTTAGGAAACGTGCTAAAATTTTGAGGGAAATTCGCATTAATACAGCTCTTCGGTTTCAGTCTTCAGCCATCGTGATTTTTTAATATATTACATTGGTACTACCTCCGTCCCAAAAAAACTTTGCCATTTTCAAAACTTTGACCGACTATATCTTTTTATTGAAAATTATTTATAATATAAAAATTATATGAAAATGTTCTTTGTTAAAAGTACTTTCATAAAAGTATAAAATTTATAACTTCCATAATATTATACTAATCAAAATCAAGGTTCAATTTTTTTGAAATGGAAAAGTTTTTTGGGACGGAGGTGGTATTAAATAACACTTTCTTTATCGCCCCCATCAACGAAAAATCTTCTACCCTCTGTTCTGTACAACTCCATAAACTCTCCCCTCTTCTACTAATCTGCTAATTATAGTCCGCTAACCAGCCATATATGTTGTTTTGTTTCAAATTTATCAGCAAACTTCTATGCTTCTGCCAATATCTTTAACCATTCAAGCTGCTATTTTTCCGTCTTGTTGTAAGATTTAAAAAATGTGTGTATATATGAATGCACACATGTAAACATACATATGTGTGACTGTGTGTGTGGATTTAATCATTTATAGTAGGAACTTATGACCCATGTCACAATCCCATGATTTACGATCTTTATTTCTCAACATGATCCTATGTACGATTTTGAGTTTGACTACCTTGGAATGTGCACCAAATATGCAAACAATGAAAGTCAGGGAGTGATAGATACACGCAAAACTGGCGATGAATTGTTGATTACGAAAACTGAAATTGAAGAAACTGAAGGTAGCAATACAGATGAGGCAAGTTCGAGAGTGCCTCGTCTCTCCCAGTCCTATTCCCAAATCCAAATTCTGCCTAACTACCATATTCTCCCCTTCCCATTCTTATAGTCATTATATCCTAACGGGCCAGCCCACATTTTATGACATGGCCCATGATCCTTATTTATACACTAACACACTTATTTAATATACTTTTATTATTATTAGTATTATTATACTAATGGGTTCCTATCATATCTCCCCCCTTAGACAACCCACCTTGTCCTCAAGGTGGGTGATAGGAACCGGCCTGGACTTTTAGCTTTATCTTCTTCCTTGCGCCTCTTCCTTCCCAGTACCTCGCTGGTTCCTGGAATAGGAGCTTCATTACTTGAACCTTCCTCATCATTTGCTCAGCCCCATATTTCTCTAAGATTCTCACAGCTTCTTCATGCATCCCATTATTGCCATGAGTTTGGAGCTTTTCCAGCTTGTCTAGTCCTTCACATCCATACGATAGATACAAAAGTGACCAACAGTCATCTTTCCTAACTTCTTCAACATTCATATGGATTAGTGGTTGAAGAAAGGGCAATGTAGCTTTGACCAGGTCAGATGGTGTTGGTGGCTTGCATCTATAGGAGTTTGACAAAATCCAGGTTGTGGCTTCACCAGCAATATTTCCCAAAGCCCAAACAGCCTGATCATAAACATCATCATCATGGAGTGAATTTAGAAACTGTATGAACATGGTAACATCACCCTGTTCGATAACACTCCTTGTGTGTTCGGATGAATAGTCTTCCAGAACCCAAGGAAACACAAGATACTTAGTTGACTCATTATCAGATCCTCCAGCTAGTGTGTTACGAATCATCAAGTGCTCAGAGTTTGTACTCTCTTTACTCTTCCAACTTTCCCTAGAGATTTCAGCCAGTATTTTGTGTACTCTGCTTTTCTCAAGACTATCAGAATCTGAAGCCTTTGCTACAAAAAAGGCAACTGGACCACTGTGTTCCAACACATAAAGCAAGGATTCCAGTAAGAGTCCACCCAAAACACTGCATTTATCCCAAGGAAAAGTCACAGACAATGCTGCTTCATCCCCATCATGAAAAGCTTTATAGTCATGAGTGACTGAGAAAAGCTGAGCAATTGAAAGCTCAGTCCTGTAGTTTTTAATCATTGTTTGTGGATTCTTAGTAACAACATCCTTCAGCAGGGCAGTAGCACTCTTTACAACTCTTGGCTCACCATAAAGCATATCTTGTGCAATTTGAGAAAGACACCATGGGCTTAACATGATCCTCTTGACTTGAGGTGTTAGTTTTACAAATTCCCCAGCACTGGCGATGATAGATACACGCAAAACTGGCGATGAATTGTTGATGACGAAAACTGAAATTGAAGAAACTGAAGGTAGCGATACAGATGAGGCAAGTTCAAGAGTGTCTCGTCTCTCCCAGTCCTATTCCCAAATCCAAATTCTGCCTAACTACCATATTCTACCCTTCCCATTCTTATAGTCATTATATCCTAACGGGCCAGCCCACATTTTATGACTTGGCCCATGATCCTTATTTATACACTACCACACTTATTGAATATACTTCTATTATTATTAGTATTATTATACTAATGGGTTCTTATCAGGGAGCAACAATGAAAATGACCCAGTAGTCGTGGGACTAAAAGTAGAAAATTTTAAGAACCAAAAGCAATGTGGCTAAAGTACCAAGTAACCAAACCAATTCAAATGCACAGTTTGAGATTTCGATGTAGCCACAACCATGAGTAAGCTTGCTTACCAAGATAAATCCACAACACTTTGAGAAAAGAAATGTTTGGCAACAAAAAGAGGGCGAGGGCTAGCCGTAGTCCACACAGTTATGGTCCGGTCCTGACTTCCTATGGCAATAACATTGTATGGTTGGGATTTTTTCCCTCCAGACTTTAAAGAACCATTTGACCACCCAGTAGATGCACTTTTCATTTCCTGAGCACTAGAGGCACTCTTCCGAAACATAGAGTGGTTGAATTTCACTACGATAATAGGAGCATTGTGTCCTAAGAAGTCAAAAGTTGCAGACCATTCCCCCCTTTCTAGAACAGGGGCAGAATGTCGAGGCTTTTGAAAACCGTGAGTTGTAGTTATAAAATGGCCACATGGAGACCACCCAAGCCGCCTAAAGAAGGTAGATCCAAGCTGAAATAAAAAACTTTTATCAGGAAAATTATTTTGAGGCAAAGAAAAAATACATGAAATAGATAGTTTCATAGTTCCAAATACTGAATACACAATACTGACCCTGAACAAAACCCTTGTTAAGGACATGGACAGCCTATAAACCCTGAACAAAACCCTTGGTGTTCCTATCAACCCTCCATTAGACCCTGAACTCTCTTCAAACATCGTATTCAGCCCCTACGCACTCGCCTAGCACACCTGATCAGCTGACAAATTATACTACAGAGCACACTGAAATCGGGGTGCCGGGAACTGCCTAGGCTGCTAGGCAAGCGCCTAGTCTGTTTTTTAGAACAATGGTCATTGTCATATACAGGGAGTCTAGAGCCAACAGGGACTTTTGAAAGTTCAAGGTCATTAATGATATTAGTTAGTTTAGGGGCTAAATGGGACATTAGAAGATTATAGGGCCAATGAGGGTTTAAGGACATTTGGTATTAGAACAAATTGATAGTCTTAGTGTGACTTGTGTGTACAGAAAAGAAGTAAAGTAACGTTTATAAAAAGAAAAGAAGTATAGTAATGTTTATAAAAAGAAAAGTAACTTACTGATTTTGCCCAGTGACCTTCAGTTTTATGAGCAAGGCTCCAGTCATTAGTTCGCCAAATAACGACAGTCTTGTCGTCTGACTGACTTGCAATGAAGGAACCAATGGGATCCCACGCAACACCTTTAACAAGACTAGAATGCCCCCTAAGAACAGCAGTGCAGATTCCATTCGACATATTCCATATATGAATTGTGTTGTCCAGGCTTCCACTGGCCAATGTAGAGTCATCTGGAGACCAATTAAGATCGACCTACTTCAAACATGGGACAACAACAAACATAATTCCTTTGGTTAGATCACGTGGAGAAAATGTCAGAGTAAGACCATTAACGCAGAATCGTGATGAAAACTAAGCAGTTAAATCACTACTCTGTAGCAACTCGGTCAAGGTCCGAGTAGCAAGTAGGACTGATTACTCGGTGATTACTCAGTCATGTATTAATTAAATTTAAAAATATAGATGCCAGAAATTATAGTAATATATTAATGATTAGTCTAATAATTCTTAGTTATGATTAAAATAATAATAATCCTAATTATAAAGTAGTAAAAGTCATAAACATTCTAAGTTTCTAAGAAAATCAATCATCTAATAACTTGGTCCGATATTAATCTTCATTGGGTTCAAGGTCGTCATTTTCTTGTTCATCCTCCGTGTCCTCAAATAGACTTTGGAAAGTTAATTTATAATTTTTAAAATAACCACTCATCATTTATAAATTCCATAATATCCCACTTTGGTTTAAAAAATCAGATTTAACCCAAAATTATTTATAGTGGTCGAGTAATTCACTGAGTAAAATATTTCACCAAGTTAAGAAAAACAGGACGGGCCGAGTCAGATGACTAAACGGAACGCCCACCCCTTGTGTTGCGAGTACTCGCCGTATAATCACCGAGTAGAAAACACAGGATAACGACAAGTAGTTTTTATTCTTTTAACAAATCAAAGGCACCTCTCCATTGGATAAAAAGAATCATGTTTCGAACACTTTTTATCAACAAATAAATGTCAACTTTGATTAAATGAAACAACTTTTTCATGCAAAAATGCCAAAAAAGAGTAACAAACCATTTAGATAGATTAATAAATCCAACAGGTAATAAAATTCAAAAGTATAAGTATGATTCATAATATATGACGCGAGTACTTTAGCAAAATTAAGGAGGTAGCAATTGGATTGGCTAGAGAATAGGGTAATGAACAATGAAGGAAAAAGCAACACAAATGTTGTAATAATAAAGATTTTGTCGAATTTGTAGTAATAAATACTGTTAAGGAAAAAATGTTCCCCGTGCATCGCATGGGTGAACTTCCAAAAAAGACTTGGCCAAAAGAAGATTGAAGAATAACTGACAAGACAATGAATGTTTTGTACAAATAAGTGTTTCAAAACCTAACATTCAACATATTATTTCAAGAAAGTTGTTCTTTGTATAAGCAATGTATTTGAAAATTTCCATGTTTTGGTGAATGATTATGTAATTATGGGTAATTAATAAGTACCTTGCTGCATTTCGTTGAAGTACCATTAACATTCGATTCAATTCAATTTACATGTACACATTGTATAAATATTTTTAACCGTTACTACATTGCTACAATTTCTTTTGGGAATAATTTTTGTCCGTGCAACGCAAATGGAATAATTTCTTTTTGGAATAACTTTAATATTTGGAAGTGTTTCGAAATCTTCCGTAATTGTGTTCTTCTATATATGAATTGTAAAATATCACCATGAGTTGGTTAATGAATACACATACACTTTTGTATTGTTTCCCTCAATATGGTATTCATCTTATTATAGTGCCATTATAATTCTTTTACATTGACTCACTACACAAATAGGGAATAATACTTTATACAATATTTAATTAGAATAACCACCAATGGTGCAACACGCGGGTAGATTCCTAGTTGTGATATTAAGAACTCAGTCAATATAAAGAGTGCACTGTTAATGAGAAGAGCAATACCACATCTGCAGTGTGTCCTCTTAATGTCATGGCAACTTTCCAATTCTCAACATCGGGTGGCTCTCCACTACCAAACTCACTGGTCCCCGAACCAGGTTTCCTCTCATGTATGAGGATTACCTGATCATCAGACCCCGAAGCGACATACCTTCCATGCTTGGCCCACCTAACACAGTTGACTGACCCAAAATGGTCACGCAGAGTGGCAAGAAGTTTCGGGATAGATTCATCTATCTCTGGTTCCCTCCCAACACATTTCATGTTCCATATACGAACCTGAAGAGATTCACATAAACGTTTAATAACGAGGATCGACACAAAACTATGAGCTTTTATGATGTACGCGTTATGATGTACTACCATTACTTTTTCCCGTTTAGAGATTTGGCGGCACTCTCACAAAAAAATTAGGAATTCGACATAATGTTCATATCAGTCAGTGGAGGATGTTCTTTAAGGCATAAATCAGTAATATGTATATTCATAGTGTGTTTTATTATATGTAAGAACTACTACAAGCAGTATAGTAAAACAATAAACCAAATTTAGGGGGAAATAATACTCTACATACAAAGAAGTTCCCAATACAATAAAGAAAAAGCAGTTACCTTATGATCACCACCACCTGTGGCAAACCTGAGGCCACCAGGCTGAATATCAATGGAGAAAATTTGCATGCCTTCATGCCTAATCCAACCGGGTTTCTCAGCAATCATCTTGGGTTTCTTGTTCCCTGAAAGAGAAGAGAACATGGTATAAACCAGGGGGGGAAAATGAAAAACAAGCAACTTTCTCGCTAAAACCCTCAAAACTCACCTATACAATTTCCAAGTTCATGCCTTTTCACTCCCCAATAAAACTTTCAGATGTCCTCACTTCAAATTGAGTGCTACTGTTAATTAATCGGATAAAACCATAATTTAACACTCAAGAAAGGAACTGAAAAAATATATATACTGCGTAGTATATGAAAAGAACCCTGATTGGGTTAATTGGGAAGAAACCAAGATAACTTTTATATATAGTATACTAGATATTCCGTAATACTTTCTAAAGTAAGTTTGAAGAGTCACGATGAACAATTGAAATACATACACGATAGATAAGCCACTCCCTAGAAGGAACTTCTCTCAGCCAATCTTAAGGATGTCCTCCCTAGTCCCTTACCACCTCCAGTCCCAATCAAAACCTCACGAACTCAACGTCGTACATTTCTTCACTCCAATCAAAGATGATGTTAATTCCTACGAACTCTCTGCCACTCAAGCCCAAGAAACTGGCGCCCCGCCTATGCCGATATGAACATCTGGGGAAGAGGCGCGGCGGACTTACTAAACCCACGACTTGTCCGCAGCTACGTGCCCTTCCACGCCCAGCCAGACTCCAAATGAACGTTCTTCCCTTGAGACTCCGGTGTATGCGTATGGGTGGCGGGTTAAGTGAGAGGGTAAAATAGATATTTAAAAACGAAATATTCATTTAACTTTAATTTAGGGTTAAGTGATTAGTAATGGTGTGGCTATGAATAAAATTTCCCAAAGAAATTGGAAAAATGGGATGTGAATTCATATATTATAGATAATAAAAGAAAAATAATGCAAAGAAAGTTGGTAGCAAGTCCAAATTATTGTTGTTGTACAAGAACAAGAATAATAATGAAAGTGTAACAGATAAGGTTGTGTTTTTGGTAAATTTGACAAATATAATGAGTCATTGTGTACGTTTTCTTTATGTACTCAAAGACAAGTGCGCAAGTGCGTTCAAGTAAAAAGATGTGTATTGGTGAGATACTGAAATGTTTATATAGTGTTTCATTATTGGATTTACCATTTCGCTGATATTCTCAAGGGGCCAAGTTATGCTACATACATGGTGGCGGCCTACGGCTACGAGCATTCAAGAGTAAGTAATATGCGGGATGATTTTTGACAACTTAACTACACAAAAAATCATGTCCATAATGAGATTCTTGTAAGATTTAATTTACATGTATTACTTGATATTAGCTTAAAAGAACTAATTTACATGTATGACATGAGACGTTGTGATCCCAAGTAGAGATGATTGTAATATCTGATATTACATTAAAAGAATTAGTAGTACTACTCATAAAAAAAAATAGGTGCATCTCCTTTTAAGAAACTCATCTGTTAAGAACTTCAAGTTAAGTATGTTTGCACGGGAGTAGTCTTGGGATGTGCGACCTCTGAGAAGTTTTTCAAAATGTGCGCGAGTGAGGACAAAGTGCACGGTAAAAGAATTTATTTTGATTTGTGAATATAATACTGGGTCCGGAACACATTTAGGAGTAACATCAAGCAACATCACAGGCCAAACACAATCAATACAAACACGAGTCAGGCCAAACACAAGATTGGTGACCAAGGGCTAATTAAAGCCCCAAGTCCAGCATAATAGCCATCACACAAAATAAATCAGTCAAAAACAATTCCAAGAAATCCCCGCCCACGAACAGTCCGCCAACACCTACTTAAAGGCAGCAGCAGCAGCAGCAGCAATGGGCGTACAAGATATTTGATTTGTGTGTAATTTCCGTTTGTATTTGTACGTTTTTAATTAGTTTTGTGATTCACTAGTTTGGAAATTACACACTTTTGGTGTAATGTTTAATTTGGTTTTATTTAAATTGGTGTAAATTGTTAAGATTAGGATTATTCTAAGCATAAGACAGGTTGAAAGCACTCAAAGGATCAAGAAATGGATCCCAAAGACCAAAAGGTGTGCAAGGGAACAAGATCAAAAATTGATTTGGAAAAAAGTTCATATACCCGGTCGGGTATATGCAATACCCGATCGGGTGTTGACCCGATTTCGTTGTCCAAATCATATCCGGGAAAACAAAGGATCGTGGGAGCAATATATTTGAAGGATCTGGTCGCATACCCGATCGGGTAGACCGACACACCCGATCGGGGTATGAATGGTGTTTTTCACATTCTCGGAAGCTGCTGAGTACCCGATCGGGTACCTTAAACACCCGGTCGGGTACATGATCCTGCCACCCTCATTTCCCTATAAATACACCCCTTTTCCTTCACATTAGATTATCCCTTCTTCCATATACTTAAGCTCAGTTTAGATGTAACACCGTCCCCAAAATATATTTACTTTTAAGTGAATAATGTATTGAACCGATTGGTCAAAATTGGTCATTTGGATATTTGGTTTGGGCCAAGGGAAAGACATAATGTGAACCGATTGGTCAAAATTGGCTCAAATACCGGTTTTGGTAATTTCACAGATAACAGCCCGAAATGAATTTCGGAGACTTATAAATTAAAATTGGGGAATGTATATTCATTATGAGGGTCATGATGATTGAGAACATAGAATATATTTTATTTGACCCGATAAAATAAAATATATATAAAACTGTCCAAAAATACAACTTTCGGGACCGATTGTACACTTCTGGACAAAAAGGGGTTGACATCCCACATAAGTGGGGGCCAACCCACGAATTTTGACACATGAATGTGGAGGTGGGGAGGCTAGATTAGAAGGAGGAAGGAGGGGAGTGTTGGGTTGAATAGAAGGGCATCAAAAGTACATTAGATGGACCCTCATCCTTACTCATTGGATCAAAGAGACAAAAACCAACCCTCACCCACTCTCTCCCTCATTTCCTGCGGCCAGCACCCTCCAAGCAAGAGCAAAGAGTCCTCCATCATCCTTTCTCTATTGTTGTAGAGAGCTCAACAAGGAAGGACCTCAAAGAAAGGAATTAAAGTGCTAAAAGTGTGAAAAAATTAAGGTAATAACCTTATCATAACTTTTTCTTTATTTTTCCTTCCATCATATGAGATATATATCATATGGAGAATCCTTGGGATTATTCTACATGAAAATAGGGTGGAATAATGGGTTGGAAAGTGGTTCTAAGTCCAAGAACGGATTTAGAAGTCAAAACGACCAGTTCACCGGAAAATAACCTTTTAGAGGTTATTTGTATTGATTAAGGTTTTATGATGTTAAAACCTTGTTAGGAACTTGATTAAAGTATTTTTGAGCTTCGCCGGAGTTTCGCCGGAGTTGGTCAAAGTTCGCCGGAGTTGGTCAAAGTTCGCCGGAATTAGTCAAAGTTCAACCGGGGAGCGTAGAACGCACTTAAGCTCACTTAAGGTGACGATGACCGACTATATTGCTTATAATCTTTGGGTTAATTTCATGAGATTTCCTAAATGGATACAAAATGTGATTTGCATGGATTATTAATGGTTAATAATGCCTAAATGAAACTACTATTGATTATAAGTATAGTTTGCATAATATACAAATTTACGAATAAATTGTGTGTGTTTATATGTTATGAATATGATGGCATGATAGTTGTATCAACCATGAATCCCAATTGTGATAAGTATGCTTTTATTTCATGAGTAGAAGACATGGAAGTATAAAAGTGATATTTTGATATTAAGGCCAATTTACACATGAATGAAGAATTTTATTGAAATGAGTAAATAACCAGTATTTGAATAATGGATGAATGGATCCTAAGAAATTGAAATGTAAAGAATCGGTGATTATTGAGCTGGGCTCTAGACCGATGTAGATAACAGTGATTATTGAGCTGGGCTCTAGACCGTAGTAGTTATTGGTGATTATTGAGCTGGGCTCTAGACCGATGTAGATAACGGTGATTATTGAGCTGGGCTCTAGACCGTAGTAGTTATCGGTGATTATTGAGCTGGGCTCTAGACCGATGTAGATAACGGTGATTATCGAGCTGGGCTCTAGACCGTAGTAGTTATCGGTGATTATTGAGCTGGGCTCTAGACCGATGTAGATGACGGTGATTATTGAGCTGGGCTCTAGACCGTAGTAGGTAACGGTGATTATTGAGCCGGGCTCTAGACCGTGGTAAGTAACGATGAATTGACACTAAACGAACAAAGTTAACTATGATATGATAACACCCTAGTTTGAGGGTTTTGGAAATTGAAACTTTGATTATACTTAGTATAGTTGTCATTGTACTTGTCAAATGCTTCCAAGTACTGACCTTCCCTTCACAGGGGAGGCCACCTCACAGTTTCAGGTAGAACTTAAAGGTTGCTACTATAGCCCATTTGCTTTCGGGAAGATCAAGGGAAGAAGACGTGGTTCGTGCTTCCTCCATTTCTGTTCTAAAAACAATTACATTAATACTCATGGATATTATTTTCTGAATAACTATTTGAGGGCTTGTACGCACATGTTTGCCAAGTGTGGCTTGAACACTTGTAATATTGTTTCTGCTGTTTTAAATGAATATTTTACATTATGTTTGTTTATGGATGAACTATGTGTGAATGATATTCCAGACGCCTTGTATAGTATGGATGTGTTGGACTGCGGTTGACTATTCGTACTGTACGGCGGATTGTTGACGTGTCCGGGTAGGTCCGGGGCGTGACATTAGAATAGTTATTTCTTATAATTTTTTTAGCATGTTTAGTCTCCAAATGAGGAGCTAAACTTCCATTTCTTGGTTTTGCTCTTGAAGCTTGTTGATTATTAAAGTTGTGAGTTATTTTCTTAACTTCTTCTCTTGATTATTAATTCTTCCCTTAATCTCATTCTATATTAATGTTGGAGGGTTGCTAAGTGACGATTAGTTAACGTTCCGACATTAATTATTACTAGAAACGATCAACGAACCGATGATTAATCATTGATGGTTTCACAAGTAAGTAACTTCGGTTTATTAATGCACGGTCGTGGTTAATAAACTTAAGAGGGATTAATTTTGTTGGTTAAACCGAAACCGTTGTGTTGAGGTTATCAATCTCAATTGATTTCATCAAGGAGTTAAAGAGATTATTAAATGCTACTATTATATCGGTATACGGTGTTGTTCTATATTTGATTAATAGTAAGGGTTATTAATGAACGGTCGTTGTTAATAACTACCCTCGATGAATTGGAGTTACTCCTCGGTTGAGTATTCGAGAGGGGATAACTTATAGATATAACAATGATCGACTAAAATATATCAACAAGTGGAAAGTAGCAATGCCAAGTCCTTTTTATATTTGAATTAAATCACATATAACTCGTTCATCTTCGTGTTTAATTTTAATTAAATCACTCAATCAAAACCCCCCCTTTATTTACTAGTTCATAAACAGAGAGTTATTCATTTCCCTGTGGATACGAACTCTACTTCACCTATACTACGTATAAGTGTTAGTATTGAATATTATTTTGACGCACCTTGACAAAGTGCTCGTCAAATGTGGCGCCGTTGCCGGGGAAAGACAACTAATTTTTCTTTTTATTTTGTTTTAAGAAAAAAAAATATAGTTTCAAGTATAAAGATTTCTATTTCTTCTGAGCTTTGTAGTATATGATAAAATATCGTTCGCTGAACGAAATCACCTACCACTCAAACCCCAAAATAGAACAAACTCTTGAGCGGTTGAAAAACAAATTCTCTAG